GTTTTTATGCTAAGGGACAGGACAACTTCACCGCATCAAAGGGACGATGGACAGGGCCATGTACCGTCAAATCTTGGGTGAGAACCTCCTTCCCTCAGCCAGGGCATTGAAAATGGGTCGTGGATGGGTATTCCAGCATGACAATGACCCAAAACACACGGCCAAGTCAACAAAGGAGTAGCTCAAGAAGAAGCACATTAAGGTCCTGGAGTGGCCTTGCCAGTCTCCAGACCTTAATCCCATAGAAAATCTGTGGAGGGAGCTGAAGGTTCGAGTTGCCAAACGTCAGCCTTGAAACCTTAACGACTTGGAGAAGATCTGCAAAGGGGAGTGGGACAAAATCCCTCCTGAGATGTGTGCAAACCTGGTGGCCAACTACAAGAAACATCTGACCTCTGTGATTGCCAACAAGGGTTTTGCCACCAAGTACTAAGTCATGTTTTGCAGAGGGGTCAAATACTTATTCCCCTCATTAAAATGCAAATCAATTTATAACACTTTTGACATGCGTTTTTCTGGATTTTTTTTTTGTTATTCTGTCTCTCACTGTTCAAATAAACCTACCATTAAAATTATAGACTGATCATTTCTTTGTCAGTGGGCAAACGTACAAAATCAGCAGGGGATCAAATACTTTTTTCCCCTCACTGTATATACTGAGATCATGTGACAGATCATGTGACACAGATTGCACACAGGTGGACTATATTTAACTAATTATGTGACTTCTGAAGGTAATTGGTTGCACCCAATCTTATTTAGGGGCTTCATAGCAAAGGGGGTGAATACATATGCACGCACCACTTTTCCGTTATTTATTTTGTATAATTCTTTGAAACAAGTTATTTTTTCCATTTCACTTCAACAATTTTGACTATTTTGTGTATGTCCATTACATGAAATCCAAATAAAAATCCATTTAAATTACAGGTTGTAATGCAACAAAATAGAAAAAACGCCAAGGGGGATTAATACTTTTGCAAGGCACTGTAACTCCCTTATATTTGCTTTAAAAAATTTACAAATACAACAAATACCCTCTAATACTATACTCATAAAAAATAAAATAACTACCATACTCCACTATTTAAATATATTTATTCCTACTACCATTGTCCTCTGTAGCTCAGCTGGTAGAGAACGGCGCTTGTAACGCCAAGGTAGTGGGTTCGATCCCCGGGACCACCCATACACAAAAAAAAATGTATGCACGCATGACTGTAATTCGCTTTGGATAAAAGCGTCTGCTAAATGGCATATTATTATTATTATTATATTATTATTACTTCAGGCCAACAGCCTGAAGGGATGGGACACCACCACTTAACACACCCTGTAACTCTGCTGATGTATTTGGGTGTGCGAGACTTGACCTCTCTGCAGTTGCCACCAAAACCTCTATTTCTCCTTTGACTCTACCAATTTCCCACACGTCCAACACGATAAATTGTACTGATTTCTTCGTTATGTAGACCCTCAAACACTGAAGTCAGACATGTTTGTTTTCATGTGACGCGCATCAATGTGGCCCAATCAATCCATCGTCCCCACCAACAGCCGCTGTTCTGTTATCTAGCTGTGCTTGGCAAATAAATAAAGGGCTCTTGAATCCTAGTCCTTCCTAAAATAGCAATAGGTCGTTGTCTGCTTTTCCTAGTCAAGAGAGATTAGCAGTTGTCATACAGCTAACATTAGCTAGCAAAGAACCCTGCTTCGTTTGTTGAAACCAGCGCCAGAGGTAAGAAACACTTGTTAGCGTGCGCGGCTAGCTCGAGTCACGGAACAACTATTATTTCAACGTCCCCAAACTACTGAAATGCAAAATAAATATCGAAAACGATATCTCCACCGCTTGAACTAAAAAAATACTAATTTGTCCCATACCTGGAATGTCTTGCAGTGTTGTAATAAGCAATTTTTTTCGAGTTCTTCAGCACCGGGTTTAGCAGGATACTGTCAGCCATCTTAGCTGAACTGTACACATCATGACGTCACTACCAGTCCCAAAACCTTGATCTTCCGGAAAAAGGTTTTCTTATGCCGTGTTCAAAACAACTGGGAACTCGGAAATCTCTGATCTCCGACATCAGTGCGTTCAAGACAACTGGGATCTCGGAAAAAACGAGATCCGGCTGGGAAAAAATCGTTTTGAACGGTCATCCATATCGGAATTCCAACTCGGGAACGCGTGCCTCTTTCTAGAGCTCCGCTTTCCGACCTGAAGGTCACTGACTGACCTCATGATTTCACATATATTATTCCAAGTTCCCAGTTGTCTTGGACGCAACATTATTTGGTCTGACAGGATTGACAGATGAGACAAGTTGCTGAATGTATGTGAGATTTTATTAGCTCAGTTCGTTTTGTAGTCTACAATTATGAATTAATGTCGCTACATGTCAAGCAGTAATGCTTAACACAGTAAAAGTTGGAAAAATCACATTTCTCAAATCGTAGATATTTATTTAAAGTAGCATGAAATATTGTAAACTAGACAGTAGATGTCTGTCGGCCCAGCAAATTTTGCTTGTAAAAATATTTGCTGAGAGTGAGAGGTTCCACATCCATTGCTTTTTATGCCATCCTGCTATATGCACACTAGATAATTTATTTTTTGGTCTGTAGATTTCATGCAGAAAAGAGGCGAATGTCTCGGATTTCTTTAGTTGATGCCTCCTCTGTACATCAAATTTAGAAATCAAAAAAATAGTTCTCAGGGGAGGAGATAAAATGCTGAAATCACTAACAACAAGATGAACAAAAATGGTAACAAAACATGTTTTGTCTAAAACGTATAGCTTACATTCTGTTTATGTATGCATCTGTAAGCCAATTGATTGTTTTCTCATTTTTATCTTAATATACAATACCGGTCAAAAGTTTTAGAACACCTACTCATGCAAGGGTTTTTCTTTATTTTTACTATTTTCTACATTATAGAATATTAGTGAAGACATCAAAACTATGAAATAACACATATGGAATCATGTAGTAACCAAAAAGTGTTAAACAAATCAAAATATATTTTAAATTTGAGGTTCTTCAAATAGCCACCCTTTGCCTTGATGACAATTTTGCACACTCTTGGCATTCTCTCAACTAGCTTCACCTGGAATGCTTTTCGAACAGTCTTGAAGGAGGTCCCACATATGCTGAGCACTTGTTAGCTGCTTTTCCTTCACTCTGCGGTCCGACTCATCCCAAACCATCTCAATTTGGTTGAGGTCGGGGGATTGTGGAGGCCAGATCATCTGATGCAGCACTACATCACTCTCGTTCTTGGTAAAATAGCCCTTACACAGCCTGGAGGTGTGTTGGGTCATTGTCCTGTTGAAAAACAAATGATAGTCCCACTGAGCCCAAACCAGATGGGATGGCGTATCGCTGTAGAATGCTGTGGTAGCCATGCTGGTTAAGTGTGCCTTGAATTCTAAATAAATCACAGACAGTGTCACCAGCAAAGCACCCCCACACCATAGCACCTCCTCTTCCATGCTTTACGGTGGGAACTACACATGCGGAGATCATCCGTTCACCCACACCGCGTCTCACAAAGACACGGTGGTTGGAACCCAAAATCTGAAATTTGGACTCCAGACCAAAGGACACATTTCCACCAGTCTAATGTCAATTTCTTGTGTTTCTTGGCCCAAGCAGGTCTCTTATTATTATTATTATTATTGGTGTCCTTTAGTAGTAGTTTCTTTGCAACAATTTGACCATGAATGCCTGTTTCACACAGTCCCCTCTGAACAGTTCATGTTGAGATGTGACTGTGACTTGAACTCTGTGAAGCATTTATTTGGGCTGCAATTACTGAGGCTGGTTACTATAATTAACTTATCCTCTGCAGCAGAGGTAACTCCGGGTCTTCCATTCCTGTGGCGGTCCTCATGAGAGCCAGTTTCATCATAGCGCTTTATAGTTTTTGTGACTGCACTTGAAGAAACTTTCAAAGTTCTTGAAATGTTCCGTATTGACTGACCTTCATGTCTTAAAGTAATGATATGGACTTGGTCTTTTACTAAATAGGGCTCTATTCTACCTTGTCTCAACACAACTGATTGGCTCAAACGCATTAAGAAGGAAAGAAATTCCACAAATTAACTTTTAAGAAGGCATGCCTGTTACTTGAAATGCATTCCAGGTGACTACCTCATAAAGGTGGTTGAGAGAATGCCAAGAGTGTGCAAATCTGTCATCAAGGAAAAGGGTGGCTATTTGAAGAATTTCAAATATAAAATATATTTTGATTTGTTTAACACTTTTTTGGTTACTACATGATTCCATATGTGTTATTTCATTGTTTTGATGTCTTCACTATTATTCTACAATGTAGAAAATAGTAAAAATTAAGAAAAACCCTTGAATGAGTACGTGTTCTAAAACGTTTGACTGGTAGTGTACATTTTGGATGCAGAGAAAATAACTTACATGAGGAAGCTGAAATGCATGCTGATAGACTGTGTAAAGTCAAGAGTAAAGTCCAGTGAAGAAATGGGACATGCAATTTAACCTGAAGTAAATTCAAGAAATTATTGTCCAACCTCAGGGTTGCACAATTACTTGCACAAATTCTTCAATTTGAAATGCTGCAGGCCTACATGTGAGGCCTCGTTATAAAGAAATATGTGCTTTGCACAAAATAGCAGCAGTGAGCAACGGACAGATTCCTCTCTTTGCATTTCTATATCACATTTTCCCTTTTTAGAGTAATAGAGTATGTGTCTCTAGTAAGCACCATGGACAAAGTGAAACAACGAGTTTATGGGGGCAAAACCAACATTTGCAAATGGACAGTCAAATAAAACAAGAATGAAATACTATAGGTATGTGAATTAATAAAACATTTTTTATCTGTATATAATATAATACATAGTCAACTCGTTTTTACAAATAAATCAATCATTTATTCTCTACATTGTTTGTATAATCTATTTATTTTATTAATCTGCCATTCAATTTATTTCAATTGATCCCAATCTCTTTACTGTCATCAATTAACATAGAAAAGTGTCGGGTCGGTTAATTCCAAGGTCCATGGCTGTCTTTCCAAGACTGGTCATTGGTGAGCTACCCCCAGTGCTGACTCTGTCCATGCCTGCCGTCATGGGATAAAGCTGTGGAATCCCCCCATTCTGGATCACTGAGATCTCATTCTTCTTCATGGCTAGGCCGTTGGTTATAGCTGATGCGTAGCGGTTCCAGAACCCTGGGTCCACGTTCATGGCCCGTCCCGTCAGGTCCTTCTGAAACATCTCTCCGAACTTCATGGCAGCTTCCCCACCCAGCAAGGCCATGGGGTTCTCCACTGACAGACGCCTGCCTCTTCTGGCTGGTGCGTTGTTCCACATGTGAGTGCCCATGTGTACCTAAAGAGGAATGGGGGGAGAGAGGGGATGGAGGAGATAAAACAAAAATCCATTAAAATTAGTCATAGCTGATAGAGCATTTTCATCTATAAGCTAAGCTGAAAATATTCTGAAATTGTTTGAACAACAGGTACTGAGTCTTTAGAGTGTTTGGGGAGCAAATACAGTAAATACAATCCCATTAAAATGTGTAGTACCTTCAGGTTTCCTTTAGTTGTGAATGCCCTGCCACAGATGGAGCAACCGAATGGTTTCTCCCCAGTGTGGGTCCGCTCATGGATCTGTAGAGCGCTGGCTGAGGAGAAGTTCTTCCCACACGCATGGCAGTTGTGCTGCTTGGGGGTCCGTCGAAGTTGAGGTGGCCCAAGCAGAGAGATGATTCCTGGGCTCACCAGAGATGGAGGAGCGGCAGGGACCTGGAGGCCAAATGGATGATGCAGCCCCTCGTTGAAGTTCATTGGCCGATGGTGCCCATTCATTTCAGATTTGATCATCCTTGGCGCAATGCTGGTATTCAGGCTAGGAATGCTTTGGCTGGAACCTAAAACAATTAGATAAAGCGATGTTTTAGAGTTGTAATATGTTTTGGGGGTAACTGAATGAGATCTACATTTGCTAGATAGTGAAGGGGGAAAACAAAATGTTCAACCGTTGTTGTGGTCCTCTGTAGCTCAGCTGGTAGAGCACGGCGCTTGTAACGCCAAGGTAGTGGGTTCGATCCCCGGGACCACCCATACACAAAAAATGTATGCACGCATGACTGTAAGTCGCTTTGGATAAAAGCGTCTGCTAAATGGCATATTATATTATTATTATTATATTATATAAAGCATTTAAAAATGGAACCCCTTTTTACATTGTTATTACACCTACAGATATTATCAGTTGATATTGTTATCTTACCACGTTCTTTACTCAGGAACAGCGTACTGTAAGGACTCTCCCGTTTCACACACTGCCTGTGAGGTTGCATCCCTCTCAGATCCAGGGTCACTCCATTTTCCAGTACCGGAGTCGAGGTGGGCGAATCAGATTTCTCACTCTTCACTGAGGCTGTGATCTCTTGTGACTCTCCACTGTGCTTCCCAGATGGGGAATTGCAGAGGTGGACCTCAGAGTTGCTTTGTGCAGGTGACACTGGTACATGCATGGCGGTGGACGATTCAGACACGGTTGGGCTGCCGACTGCATTGTGATTCTGTCCTTCTCCCACTATAGAGTAGTGGATAGCAGCACGGCGCTCACTGTCCATAAAACCATTCATCATTGACTTCAGCCCAAAGGAGTTGTTTAGGTTTATGGTGGAGTCTATCATTTTCATTTGGTTCTCCAGTGCAGCTATGCTGGAGACAACAGCATCAGAGTTGGGAGGAGAACTTGAGACAGAGCTCAGGGGTTTGAGGGTATCTACACCCCCCTCCATATTTTCTACCTCTTCTTCTTCATCATCCTCTTCCTCCCCCATGGAGTTGTCGTACATGAGGTCATTGTCATAGTTCTTCAGGCTGTCAAAGTTCTTCTCATCGAAGGAGAGATCAGTGTCGAGGTCCTGTAGGCCGTCCATTAAGGGTGAGTTTGAGATCTGACCCCCCATATGCATGCGGATGTGCTGCTGTAGCACTACAGCGTTGGTGAACTTCTTCTGGCAGATGGGACATGAATGTTGAACCCGGAGAGGAGGGTTTGCTCTGTGGACACCAATATGTGTCTTCAGGTTTCCTTTGGTGGTGAAAGCCCTGCCACACACCTTACATTTAAAGGGCCTCTCCCCTGTGTGGATACGGTAGTGCATCTTCAGCGCGCTCTGGCAGCTGAGCACGCGGTGACAGAGGACACACTGGTTGGGGTCTGTTATCTTCTTGTCTATGTTCTCCACCAGCTGCTGGAGCTTTGAGGTCTCTGACGTTTGCATAGAGTCCAGGAGGCCACCGAATGGAAACTTTGCTTTGAACGGGTCAGAGGCCAGGGAAAGTGGTGAGAAGTTGGAAACGGGGTAAGTCGGTGTGCTGCACTCAGGTGTGGATGTGGTCATAGTCATGGCTTTACTTGTTGCCACAGTAAATGGACTCACCCTGGGTCTAGTCATGCAGTTTTGGGGCAGGTGAATTTCCTCTGCTTTCAATACGTGGGAGGCTTCCCCCTCCTGATTAGACTGTGGAGACTCTAAAGCTGTGGGAACACTGGTTTCATTGCCTGTAGTGTTCAGCGACAAAGACACACATTCACTTGTGGCTGGGGAGGGCCTAAAAGGAGATTTGATGGGTGGTGTGACACTTAGAGAGCCACTTGAGCTTCCCATAGTAGTGAGCGTGAAGGGAAGCTGAAGGCCCATAGAGGTGGGTACCGTCGCTAAAACAGGCTTGCTATCCAGCCAAGTGGCTCCTGGTTTTTCAGGAGGGAATGACATTCCATAGGGAATACCAGAGCACGTTGGCACATTGTCTAAATATTCCGGCACTGGATAAGGGTTCATCTGAACATGTGGATACTTTTCTTTGTGTCTCTGGAAGTGGACTTTCAGGTTCCCTTTAGTGGAGAAGCGATTGCCGCAGAGGTTGCACTTGAAGGGCCTCTCCCCGGTGTGAGAGCGCAGGTGGATCTGCAGCGCGCTGTCGCTGCCAAACACTTTGGCGCAGAACCTGCACTTATGCTTGAAAAAGGGCTCCTCAGTGCTGGGCTTGGTGTCGAACATGGACACATTGGGCAGCTTGCCATTCCGGTGGTGCTTCATCAGGGCGGAGAGCGGGTCGAGGGCGTTAGTCGTGGCTGTGATGCTGGCCAGGGGGTTGGGGAAGATGACACTGCTGGGGGGGCTCTGAGGTAGAAACGGCAGGCTGGATGGTGAGCTGAGGAGACTGTTGCTCTGACCCTGCATGGACAGTGAGCTGGACGAGGTCAGGGTCTGAGTACAGCTCCCGCTTGTGTGTGAGTGTGAACCCGTGTAGGGAGGCTGTAATGAGGAAATATTGTTGCAGCTAGTAGGGGGAGGGGCAGAGTTCTCTGAGGGAGCTGAGGTACATCTAACATTTCTCATGTGGGCCTGTCCATATGAAGTTTGTGAGGAGAGTGTGTGGGACCTCTCAAGCACAGCTGCCAAAGACACAGATGCTTGTCCATTGACGGCAGAGGGAATCGTCCCAGACAGTGGTAGGACAGGGGGAGCGATGAGGCCTTGGGAGGGGAAAGGGTTTGGTGCCAGTGATAGGGCCCTGGAGACTGGGTTTAGTGCTGTTTGTGTGGGCTGTTTGTTCATGAAGGCCACCTGGCTACGGATCTGCTCAATAAGCTGCAACTGGTGGACCTGTTGCTGATGCAAAGACAGCAGGTGCTCCAGGATCACTGGGATGGCTGCTGTGGCCGCCTTCCCTCCTGCCCCACTACTGTGGAGGCTCTGGGAGAACTGGGCCACAGCCACCTGGGTACTGTGGAGGATCTCCAGCGTTACGTTCGTACTGGGCATGCTGCTGGTCACAGGAGACGACTGAGATGAAGGGATGGCCAACTCGGTTGTATCTGGGGGATTCTGGGGTCTAGATGACTTATGTTTGTCGTGGTGCTGCTGCTCCACCTCCATGGATTCATCCTCCCTCTCTCCCATGTTCATCTCCTCTAACATATCTGTGCTGTCATTATCATTATCATTCATAGGCTCCACCAGCTCAAGGCCCCCGTCCGCTGACTCGATGTCTGCTGAGTCACTGGGGGCCAGGCTAAGAATGGCCAGGCTGGGGGTTGGGGAGGATCCAGCTGGGGATCCCTCAGGTCTAGGCATCCCCTCATCTTCCTTCACAATGAGGAACTGAGGTGGGTCCTCTGTGCAGTTTCTCTGGTGCTCATACAGTTCGGCCCAGGTGAAGTACTCAGCACATTTTTCACACACATGCGTTTCCTCAATGCCACTGCGGCGCTCCTCCTCATCCATTCCCTCCAATAGAGCTGCATGGAAAACAGGGGGAGAAGAAAATAACTGTTAGTTAATATAACTAGGATGACAGACTATAACCCTTCAATTACAGTAAGAGTAAACATGTTCAATGATAAACTCAATCTATAGTTTTCATTCTAAATGTATAGATTCATTGCATCATATTAGACCCAGTTTCTACTAAATTAAATCTCCTTGTATGCAGCTGCTAATTTGATTTGGCTAATCAATCAAATTATGTGACCTATCAATTGTGCATACTGCAACTTAATGAAATTGATTGATTATTGATTTCCAATGCATTCATACAATTAAAGTGCCATGTCCGTTGAGTACAAATTGGGTCTTTGACTGGGTCATTCCCTATTGCAATCAACCACTCTAATTTCCACAGCAGGAATTTCATATGCTATTCCACAACACTTGGCTCTGTCAAACAAACATGTTATCATTGTCTATTAGAGCGTGCCTAGGAAAAATGCAACATTAACATAAGTTGAAAACAAGTTCATACAACAGCAATATTTCAAAATAATATTTTACAGTTAATTAAAATGACTACATTCTGGGAATTAATGTGAGATTATATTTATAGTGTAGTAATTTAAAGAAGAAAACAAGGAAAACCCAATAATTGATCTTAATTTAATATATTCTATAGGAACCTTTTACATTATTAATCTATAATGCTGCTTCTATTTGAAAGTAATAATTAGTTTAACATGTTATCAATCTAGAACAGTAAAATATGTACTTCTTGGTCTGATGTTGATATGAAATAACTTCACCAATACTTAGCTACATCCAGCTATAAACACATGGTAAACCATTGTTTTTATTCCTGGCTGCAAATACCTCCCTCGCACACACAGAAAATGATATTTTTACATGATATTTATCTTGATCTTGGACATGTAATAGCTACTGCTATGTTGATGTAAATTCTATAAGGAATTATAAACAGTCTTTTATACAATCTCATGTCCTCTTGTTCAGTATCCTGAGTGATATTCTAGCAGCTGCAGTAACTATAAAAAGTCTAGAGAGCTTAATTCTTTTAGACATTAAGCTTCTCCTAAATGCCCTCAAATCAATGCAGTTGATTGGCAATGCTCTCCTCGTGAAGTTCAGAATCACTGAGGAAACAGGGAAATCTGTGTGTTGTTAGGAGGCAGATGAGCATGCCAGCTGGGTAATGCTGGGAAGTTCCAGCGTAAACAATACTTTATGTGCATCCAAAATGGCATCCTATTGCCTATATAGTGCACTTTTGACCAGCGCCCATAGGGTTCCATTTTCAACCTTTCTTTTATTGCACATACACCCAAGTTGCTTTTCAATGGGCATTGAAACAACTTTTCAATGGGTGTTGTGGAATGAATCAATTCAGAGTATTTAAAGTCTATAAAGTCAGGAAAAAAACACAAAAGGGATGACTGTGCATGTTTACCATTCTATAGAATAAGATAGAATGGAAATATGGCTTAAACTTATCTTCGAAACATGAGTGCTGTGATCTATCCAAGGTTTTGTCTATTCTGTACATAAAATAAAAATGTGTTTTTGATCACTGTTTGTTCAAACAACTAAAAAAATGTTGGGGGTGCTTATAACTGTCAAACAACCACTGATTGACCTTGTTTCTTACTCTTTTTGAGTGCATTCATGGCACTGGTTGAAAAACAGTGCCATTGTGACAGCACATACACAAAGCAGCTTTGATAATGTGTGTGTGTGTCTGTCTGTCTGTCTAGTGTGTCTCTGTCTAGTGTGTGCGCGCGTGTGCATTCATGCGTGTGTGTGCGTGTTTGTATGCGTGTGTCCGAGGATGTCTGGCATACTGTGTGGTCAATAAATTGTAGTGCTGAGCGATTAGTGCTTTTTGAAGTCAGTTGGTTTTCAGTTTGATTATAAAAATAAAAAAAACGGTTTTCAATTTCAGTTCCGATTGTTTAAAAAAAACAACATGAAATGCACTATCCATTATTTGGGTTGAATGCTGTAACAAAACATAATAAAATAATTAATAAAAGTCCCATGATGATAGTTACTGCTCATCACTTATTAACCATAATTTATTCACATTACTTTACTTTAATAAAATATTTCAGTAGTTGTGTTTATTACATTAGTTTTATTTGATGACTTTATTATTTCATTCCAAGTCATCATCTCATCTCTATAGAGCTGCTGCCTATGCTGTTTAACAAAATCACAATTTTAGTAATTCTTCAAAGTAAAACAATTATAAAAAATAAAAAATAATAATAAAAAATAATAAAAAAAATCTTCAAAGTAAATAAGGCATACTTTTATGACTGCTGAATACCAACTATTAATCATATCATGTATCTTCAGGTAGAGATACCTCGCAAAGCAACTGCTCTCTGTCCCTCATTCTTCTCTCCCTGTCAGTGTCTGGCCAACACTATCCTAATGTGCCAGGCGTAAAAGAAACACACACTGGACAAGTAGGCGCGCAATGGATTATGGTCATTGTAGTTAATTACCACGTTTTCTGCTCTAAACTATGTAGAATATTAGCCTGTTAGAAACTACAACTCCCTACTACATGACACAGTTCGGGATTGATCTGATGTATCTTTAGAGAAATTGCCAAAAACTAAACAAAGCGGAATTCAAATAATTGAACAGATGTTGGTCAATTAGTTGTTTAAAACCCAGAAAATAACAGAAATTTCTGCACTAATAAATTGTCACAACAATTTCAATAATAATTGATCATGGACTACAGGAAACGGAGGGCCGAGCACACCCCCATTCTCATCGACGGGGCTGTAGTGGAGCAGGTTGAGAGCTTCAAGTTCCTTGGTGTCCACATCACCAACAAACTATCATGGTCCAAACACACCAAGACAGTTGTGAAGAGGGCACGACAATGCCTATTCCCCCTCAGGAGACTTAAAAGATTTGGCATGGGTCCTCAGATCCTCAAAAAGTTATACAGCTGCACCATCGAGAGCATCCTGACTGGTTGCATCACCGCCTGGTATGGCAACTGCTCAGCCTCCGAGCTGCTGCTACTCGCAGTTTTTTAATCTATTAGTCACTTTACCCCTACCTACAGTACATGTACATATTACCTCAATAATCTAGACTAACCTGTACCCCCGCACATTGACTCGGTACCAGTACCCCCTGTATATAGCCTCGTTATTGTTATTTTATTGTTGCTCTTTTATTCTTTACTTTAGTTTATTTAGTAAATATTTTTCTTAACTCTTATTTTTCTTAAAACTGCATTGTTGGTTATGGGCTTGTAAGTAAGCATTTTATGGTAAGGTCTACACCTGTTGTATTCGGCGCATGTGACATATACCATTTAATTTGTTTGATTTAATAACCTAAACAGCATACAAAACATTTGAGTAGAGAATCAGTGTCATTGGCTCATCTAAGTGGGTGGTCTCAAGATCACCAATGTTAAGTCACAGCAAACAGAAGTAAGACCATGATGCCATGATTAGCTAGAGTTGGGTTTTCTAAACAGATTAAAAATCATTTTCTAATTGATAATTCAAACACTATCATTCTTCATAGTTATTATAGGGAAAGTTGTTGCTATATCAGAAAGCTACCTCAACAACAAAAACAAAAAACACTTTTTACAATCGAGGTGGATATATTATGGCTTTTACAAGAAATACATGACACAATGCACTATCCAAACACAGGAACAAAGGATGGCCAAAAAATATTTGTATCGTTTGTTTACTGTGGAGAGCAAAATCATTCACAGCAATTGAGATTTTAAAATGAAAACAAACAGTTAGATCAGAGTGAGGAATCAGTTTACACAGCAATGGTTCCGTCTCGACAGTGTGGCCTACATGCTTCAGAGGTCAATGGCACAGATGTACTAATTGCATTATGATCCTGACATACAGCACTTGCCCCTTGTAGGGTGAGGTGGACAAAGGTTAAGTCAGCAGGCTCAATCAAAGCACATCTCAGAACACACCCCCTGCCTGGTGGGGGGCGGGACAAAGAAGAGCCTTGTTGGCACTCAATACAATCCCACCTTTTCATAGTACTAATCTGCCACATTTGTCAACAATACAGGCCAAGCACGAAAAACCTAGAAAAAAATGGCCTGATGAGTAGCCTAACATTGAATAACTGATAAATCCTACATAATCCTTGACTGAGGTGGGGGGAAATATTATAAATGAATTACTAAAATAAATACCATGCAGATAAGATTAATAAACCTGATAGTAATACGTCATTTTGAGTTTAAGGACCTCTGAGCAAGATTCTGATGATTCTGATTCAATCATTGTGCCAAACCATATTACAACCACTTTAACACCATAAAACTTCAAAAACGTCTAAAACATATAAAAACTAGAATATTTAATTTGACCTGTGAGTACTTAAAAATAATATTTTATCACAAATTAATGTTACCATGAAAGTGTCTTCATATATAAATAATATATTATCATTTGGATAAATGTGATATTACTGTAAAATATATTTATTTAAGTTGATATATCCATCAGCAATTTGAGAACAATATAGGCCTACACTTATGTGCTGTCCTGAAAACTTTAAAAACATTTAGCCTATTTATTTCACTCCCTTGAGTTTATGGTGGTGGTTGAATACTATTGACTGTGATTTACACACACACACACACACACACACACACACACACACACACATTTACATATATATATATATACGGTATATTACACTGTGTATAACAAAATAAATATCAAAATAACCTTTGATTTGGAGGGAGGGAATAGCATTGGTACAAATGACGAATATCATTAACAAAACTGTCATCTAGAATTTGTATCTATGATTTCAAATGGAAAATATACTTTATTACTATTTAGGAAACGTGTAGAAAGCATAAAATATATTGTCTCAAATAGGACTCAATTAAAATAGTCATGTTTGAGTGGCTCAGATAAATATTTAAACAACGCAATTTCTTGTCTTGAATGGATTGAATGGATTAACGGGATAAATACTATATTTTTGTTGATATGAATATTTTATACATATAGGCTACTGTACCTGTAAAATATGTATCTAATCAAGAAAACATTTTCAGACCAGTAGCCTCCCACTGGGCACACCACGTCATTTCAATGTGGATAATTTGGTAATATTTGGTTGAGACATTGATCAATGAGATTACAACCTATATTCCCCCACTCAAAAAGACTGCCAAAAGTTAGTTGAATTTCCATTGTGTTATCACTATGCTTTCAACCATCTAAAAGCACAACCAAATTCCATTGGAAAAACAATGTATGATTTTTGGTTTGCCACCCAAATGTCTATCACTGCGCTTTCAACTATTTAAAATCACAGCAAAGTTCAAATGGGAATTAAATGTCAGATGTTTTGCTTATTTATACAACAGATTAACGTGTTATCACTGTGCTTCATCTAATAGCAGAACCAAATGACCTGGATTGCAGTTGAGATTACATTAAAAGTAGGCCACATAGCGCAAGTGATCAATGCCGTTCGAGATTCTGTGCAGATTATTACAGCAATTGTGAAGATCTCCACAGACCTGCAATACCTATGCATGATATCTTGAAGATTCATGCTTTACATGATTACATTAGAAGACATTTATACACAATCAAATATCAACATTTGAAGGAGATTTATCTTCTGCTTGGATAGTTCCTTCTGTGCCACTGACTTAATAATTGATATGTTGGATTCACGTCTACATCTCAAACAAAAATCTAAGATAACAATAGGACTAAATCAAATTAAATCAAATCAAAGTTTAAATGCACTTTAAATCAAGTGTGATTTGATTTAGTCCTATTGTTTAACTTAGATTTTCGGTTGAGATGGAGACGTGAATCCAACATATCAATTATTAATTTGTAGACAAACTGGAATTAAGTCAGTGTCACAGATGGAACTAAGTAGAACATACAGCTCCTTCAAATGTATATATTTGGTTGCGTTGACAACCAAACACAATTCAATATCACTAAGTATCATTACATTTTAAATCAACCAGAGCTTGAAACCCTAGGCCTATGTATTATGAATGTTTTTGTTGAGTCCTGGGTTGAATTGAAACAACAGCTGTTGATGACTTTGCAAATGCTATATAGGCCTAAATAGCATAATTGATGGTATGAGTGATAAAGTATGGTCACATTTAACTTGCTCTATTAAACCTACCCTTTGGAATGAATTTAATAGCAACAGAAAATCTATTTAATTTTAAAGTGGAAATCTCTCAACAATCATTCTCACAATAGCACATTGATCATATACAGTGACAAATATCATAGCTGAGCAGGGCTTGGGAGATCAAAGGGTAGCTGTAGATAGATCAATTCTCCAGTAGGAGGTGCTGCCCAGCCTATTGTTTGGAAATAATTTTGAAGATCTGACATTGTTTTAAAGGTACAAATTCAACATATTTTATAGAAGGTTTGTCTTTTTTAATATTTGGTTACCATGATGACATAATCCTGTGGTTGAAATTTCACCCTCAAAACAACAGTTACTTTTATGATTTCTTTCAAATACAATGTATTTTCCATGTAGATTTTACGTCACTATATGTTGACAAAGTACCTGGAAACAACTTTGATTTAACCAGTTTGTGCCCACTTTCAATTGCAGTAGAATATGAACTAACAAAAAAAAATATGACATATATGTTTTATTTTCCGTACCTGAGGAACAATATAGTTTAATAAAAAACTAAAATCTTTCCCATTAGGCATCCTCCTTTACATCTAGCCTATAAAGCCTACCTCTTTCAAAAACGAAGTAGGCTAGTAGGCCTTTCTTATTATCATGGACACTTCCTTAATCCAAAACCAAACTCTCATTCTAGACTTATAGGTCATTATGTAAATCATATTTCAATGCTACCATAGTTGCCTACCATATGTGTGACAATAAAACATCTTTATTATATAGTTTTTCATTAACATTATACAGTTACACTAAAGTATAATATACACAGAGAATGAGCTGATGTGGGTCCTCTGTGAAACTATATCCTTTTTATAAATTTGTCAAAATTATGTCAGATATGATTTGATGACAAATGTAATAACAACAACAATACATTTTTCTGTTCGTATAGGGCCTAACTATTTTCAATATTCCTTCACACTGAAAGGATATAGCCTATTGATAGGCTACAAATCTCTCAGGACAAATTTCTACCATTACCAATGGGCAAAATTGCATGCATAACTCATGAAAGTGTGCTTTGAAATCGATCAGACAATAGCCTATCCAGAGTTATCTTATCATATCCGAGGGCAATTTATATTATTTATGCTCATTTATATTATTTATCTAGACTATACGCTACCATTTATTTATACCACTTTTTTAGATTGTATAATAAATATCACACTGATGTACAGGATAAAGAACGTTGAAAATCTGCTCTGATTCACCCGTAGTCCTATATTTGTAACAACCTGGGAAGTAAAGGAAATACTAAAATCGATTTTTTAAAGTCCCTAACCCTATAAGGCAAAGGGTTATAATAATATATGAATGGTTAGGAAGGATTATAATAAGATATGAATTAATAACTATTGAAGCTAAATCGGCCTGCTGTAGCCTATTATAGTCTGGCAATCAAATATGCCTATGATAACTTTTTTTTTAATGCTTTTTTTTTTGTTGCAGAAAAGTGTGTGTGAATCTCACGTACCATGTTCTGTGGCGACGTCAGTTTGCAACGCTTCTTCGTCCAATTTGAGATGCTGTGGCTTCGCTTGCTTGCGGCGGGACATGTTGTCAGTTCTCTGTTAGCTGCTCTTGCTGCCTTTGGCCGATACATCGGCATCTAACAAATAGAACCCGTCAGAGAGAGTCGGGTCAGTGAAATAAGGGATAGCCTATTAGCTGGTGTTACTTACCCATGTGCAGATTGCGCATGTCGGTGTGATTATGATGGAGGATAATGCTTGATTACTCTTGGTGGCTTTCGATGGTGGATTGGCTAAGGTCCAGCAGACCCACACTAGATATGGAAATGAGGGATGGGTTTGATAATTACACTATACTTGACTTCCTATCCACCTGTCTTTCTGCACGGTCCACCCTACAACAGTGATGGGCATTACTACGTTTTGTACGGTCTAGAACAGTTCTCTCCCTCTGGTTGGTTTTGTTCTGTTTTTACCCGCCACACGTTTGTAAATATATTTGTGCCGCCACACTTTTGTAAACATATTTGTGCCATTACTTTTTATTGTAGCCTAAAAAAGTCTTTTATTTTCATTTACTCCACTTCCATTCCTGTTTTTTCACGCTTTGACTATAGTACTTTATTTTTTAGATCTACACGTGGATAAGAAAGTCTTGGCTGGAAAATTCTTGCCAAGTGTCTTTATCCTCCTCGTCTTCTATTTCTCATGAAGCTGAGCGGAGGAGGGGGAAAGTTTTAAAAAACATGAAGAAAGCAAGAGTCCGGTTCAGGTGCCCAAAAAGATGCCACATGGCCGTGATCGAATGCGAATGCTTGTCAAGTTATTGCGTAAAAGTAATGTTCCAATTCACAGAGCGACGGTGAATTTCAAGTCGATAGTCGTTCCGAGGAGCGGGTTCTTGGTCTTGCCCGCAGCTGCTACTCTTTAGAAGCCTCCGCCTCCAGTCCATTATGAGAAGCCCTGTAGCCGAATGTGATAGGCGACCGCTAGGTTGCCACAGAAGGTGTTGGAAGCGTTACTTCAGTTTCAGCGACCTCCCACAGCTGATGTTTCAGTTGGTTTATGGAGCCAACTAGTAGTGGTTTCTTTGCAGCAAATTTCTCAAACAATCAAACTGAGTGTAACTAACATTAGCCTATAGATAATTAAATTACAAATGCCATTTTTGAGGTTTGATGTCTTATTAAGAACACACTGTTGTAAGAGTTGTGTGGATAAAATGCACTAATCATTCCCTCTCTGAGATAATATTATGTTTTAAATTAAATGTATCAAAGTGGGTGTTTTAGTTGACCAAGGCTGTGGCCCTCTCATTAGCTATTGTTCAAAAGACTGTAATTATGGTATTAAAATATGTGGCCTGCCTGGAGAGGGCAGAATCAGCTGTTAATAATTGCATATAGGCCTACCTCACAACAGCCTTGTATTGATTGCCTTGTCTCCCATTCCCTTGGTATAGAGAGGTAAGAAGACCCACTCCTTGAGGATTACAATTTATTTTGACCTATCAGCTTTCTACAGACTTATGATGAATAGCCAGAGTGGTTGAGAGCTCTTTTATCTCGAAACTTAACCCTCCTTGATGTAATATTGATTTTTTATAACTATCTTGGCACACAAAGTACCTACTTGACCACTATCATGTACAACTACGATGCTGGAACACTGATCTCCTGCTTCTGCAAATAAAATAATATTTTGAAACAGTTTGTATGATTTCCAGGGTAGTGGGTTCGATCCCCGGGACCACCCATACCTAAAAATTTATGCACACATGACTGTAAGTCGCTTTGGATAAAAGCGTCTGCTAAATGGCATATATTATTATTATTATATTATTTCATTTCAGTACTGTACTCTTACCAAAGAGAAGCACAATAACTTACAGTACAGACACAGATCAGCCTATTTAAGCTGAATGTATGAACCTACTTATCATAAGTAAATGATTTAATCCAATAGGATAGTGCATCACATGCATGCTATAACAAAAAAGTGCATGAGCTCCAGTAGAGGGAGGGGTTTAGGGAAGTGTTTCTTTCCCAGGGACCAGTGAGATTTGTGGTGTTCCGTTCAACCTTCTGATTATTTTATTTTTTACAGTATCAGCCTACTGTAGATTGTTTTCACCGCAGGGCACAGTTAGACTCTCTCAATCCTGGTATGTGCATGCAGAAAACAATCATTTTCCAAAATACATTGTTATAGATGGTAAACAATCATGGTAAAGTATGTGTATAAAAAACATGTTTACTGCATTTTGTCTGTGCTACTAAAGTCTCAACGAAACAAGAAGCTTGTTTCAAGGTAAACAACGTCTTGGAGGCCAGTGCACAAGTGTGCATATTGAAGTGCTTCCTGTGGCATGCTTTTGTGTGCATTGATTACAGTGGGGTGTGATTTACTACTGGTCAAATGGATTAGCAGATTTTGCCCCCTCCTGTCAGATGAGGAATGTGTGTACCACGTGGGTTTGGTGACCTACGATGAAGATATGACATCCTGTGACCCCTGTCCCTGTCCGTGCTCAAAGACACTGATCAGCAAGACAGCAACAGCAAAATGCTAAGCTTTGCATTATGGGTTAGACGACAGATGACTGACACCAGCAGGCCTGGTGAGGGCTGTACAAGGAAGAAAAATCTAATTATTTTGGGACACTTTTAAATCCATTTGGAGAGACAACACCATTGCTCTGCCATTGGGCAACATTGTATGTGTTTTGCAATTTAAAAACATAAGGAACACCTTACATTAACTTGCACCTGTGTAGTAACGGTGTAATTACTATTGTAGCAACATTACATAAACATGTTAAATATCAGTTTGGTACTATTGATAGTAAGCTTCTATAGTTATCACTTGGTATTACTTATTTAAAAATATATTTCCACAAAAGGGTTCTCAGAGGAGCACCATGTTTGGAAACATTCTGTACAGTCTGCCGGCACACTACACCATGACAAAATAGATAAAAAATAATTACACACGTACTAAGGGTCTGTTTCCTCGTATAACCACACAAAGAGATTTTTCTTGAAAATGATCATAAATCACAGCCTGGATCAATACAGTGGGGCCTGGCTGCAATGGCCTGATAACACAATCAATACTGGGTATTTGGATTTTAATTAATACATGACAGAGAGTCAGCCCTTATATCATGAAATATTATGATCTAAGCTCTGTGCCTTTAGCGCACCAAATATGTTCTTGATATCTGTAATGGTTAATCAGATGTAGTTGGGATCAAGAACCTATAGGTGCAAGGAGTTTGTGAAACAAGAGTCGGTATAGTGTGTGTGTGTGTGTGTGTGTGTGTGTGTGAGAGAGAGAGAGAGTGTGCACGAGCATGTGTGCACAAGTGTGCTTCTTCAGCTCGGCCTTCTATAAATCACAGCATGTGTGTGGGAAAGAAGGGTTTCGTTTTTGGTCCACACATCCCTTGACGTGAATGTTATTTCCCCCAGTAATGAAACCATTATTTTAGATGGGGCACGAAGTACGTTTGAATGGGGTGGTGGAAGTTGGAGAATTTTGTATTTTTCTAACACCTGCAACAGCCTTTCCTGCATTCTAGAGCCATAATCATTATGCCTAATTCTATGTAAAAAAATATTTTGTATACACTACCAGTCAAAAGTTTGGACACACCTTCTCATTCAAGGGTTTTTCTGTATTTATACTATTTTTTACGTTGTAGAATAATAGTGAAGACATCAAAACTATGAAATAACACATATGGAATCATGTAGTAAACATAAAAGTGTTCAACAAAACAAAGTACATTTTATATTTGAGAATCTTCAAATAGCCAAACTTTGCCTTGCCTTTGTACACTCTTGGCATTCTCTCAACCAGCTTCACCTGGAATGCTTTTCCAACAGTCTTGAAGGAGTTCCCACATATGCTGAGCACTTGTTGGCTGCTTTTCCTTTACTCTGCCGTCCTACTCATCCCAAACCATTTCAATTTGGTTGAGTTCGGAGGATTGTGGAGGCCAGGTCATCTGATGCAGCACTCCATCACTCTCCTTCTTGGTAAAACAGCCCTTCCACAGCTTGGAGGTGTGTTGGGTCATTGTCCTGTTGAAAAACAAATGATAGTACCTCTAAGCCCAAACCAGATGGGTTGGCGTATCGTTGCAGAATGCTGTGGTAGCCATGCTGTTTAAGTGTGCCTTGAATTCTAAATAAATCACAGACAGTTTCACCAGCAAAGCACCCCTACACCATAACACCTCCTCCTCCATGCTTTATGGTGGGAACTACACATGCGGAGATCATCCGTTCACCTACACCACGTCTCACAAAGACACGGCGGTTGGAACCCAAAATCTCCAATTTGGACTCCAGACCAAAGGACACATTTCCACCGGTCTAAAGTCCATTGCTCGTGTTTCTTGACCCAAGCAGGTCTCTTCTTATTATTGGTGTCCTTTAGTAGTGGTTTCTTTGCAGCAATTTTACTATGAAGGCCTGATTCACACAGTCCCCTCTGAACAGTTGCTGTTGAGATGTGTCTGTTACTTGAACTCTGTGAAGCATTTATTTGGGCTGCAATTTCTGAGGCTGGACATGCAAAAACACAGATATTAAAACAAACAATTCGGAAAATCACAGTGCAATAGAGCATGCTGGGAAATATGGCTAAATGTAGAACCCTTCTTGCCTTCCAAAGAACCCTTCTTGCCTTCCAAAAAGTAATTATTGCCTTCTAAAGAATAATCAAAGAACCCTTTCTTCCAAAATCAGTTCTTAGGATGTGGAAGATTCTAGGTAGAACCCTTTGCCTTACAAAGAACCCTTTTGGAACCCTTTTTTTCTAAGAGTGTAGTTATGAGGTTGGGAGATTGGGAACCTATCTAGCTGGCTAGCTAAAGCCAACTTCATAAAATTGCTAGGTGGCTAGTATTACAGAGAAACAACAAAACATGTTTGTTTTATTTATTCATCAAGAAGAAATCAATAGGCTACAAATTAATTTACAAACATACCTCCTGTGAGTCCTGCACATCACCGGCAGCTAAAATCAAATCAAACGCTGTGTGTGTCACTCTACACTCTTTCTCCTCCACTGAC